CGGAGTCTCAACCCTCTGGCGGGCAAAGAGAGAATGCACGTGCCGATCATTGGTGGTACCGTAGATATTGCTACCTTTTTCCACAATAGCAAGATTAATATAACACTTTTCCATCGGCAACCTCTGCCCAGAGAGCCTTTCAATATTGAGGCGTCGCCCTCCCTCGCTTCGATATTGTTCGATAATATGCCTGTCGACTCGATCTAGTGGCGTCTCCGCATTACGAATGCTACTCAAAATCTTCTGAATCTCTCTGGAAACCTGCATGTAGTCTGGACATTCAGGGTTGTTGAACTTGTTCATGCGACCGTGAGGTCGGTTGAGCCGTTGACCCCCGAAAGTCCAACCAGCTGTTGCTGAGTTCTCATCGACCAACTGTCTAACTGTTAGTTGTCGCACAACACAAGAACAGGTGGGAAACCTTCAGGTTTCAAAATGTTTGACACTTGCCTGCTTGGGTCTGTAGAAGTAGAATCCAAAAAGCCAACAAAGAAAGGCAACAAGCAGCCACGGGAGGATTGAAAGCCATCTCGTGGCAAAAAAAGCATTCGTGGGTGGACTAGTTAATGCGAGAAACCTGTATGCTACTTCTCTTGTTATTGGCAACAAGATCAATACGGACCCCCAAAGCGCAAATGCCCGCTTAGAGAACAGCCAAGCCATGTAAATTTTGCTGAAAAGGCTGATTCCTCGAGCTTCCCAGAAGGCACAGACTTCATAGCACTCTCTTGATTTTATGTCAATAAATCGTTTCAACAGTTCGTTGGCGTTGGATTTTGGTTCGTTCACGTAGTCGATGAGATTTGTTAACGCCTGGTCTCGAAACAATGCTACGGCTTTTAAAGCAGCATCAGGTACGTCCTTGAAGGAAGTGCCTTTGAATGGCGTTGCAAGAAATACGATTCCTCGCGTCGCTTTTATCAATGTCTTTTCTCGGCATGTGTCGTCAATTTCGAGGGCTTTTATTAAAATAATGCCCCCAAAGCAAGAAGCGATAAAGAGGACTGGGTTTGCCGCCGCGCCGCGTTCTCCTTGCTCCAGGTGCTGTCTCATAATGCGAAGGAAGCTCTGGGCGGACTCTTCGAGATTGGTAGGGGTAGACTTTTGGAACATTTCGGCCTCCCAGTTGCAAACGAAGATCCGTGCGTTGCCAACTTCGTGTGGGAGCATGTCTTCCTGCTCCAGCCAGTTAACATTGTTTTTCGGGTGACAGCGGTCCCTCCATGTCCACGTTTCTGGGGCTTTCGTATCTAGGCCATGGATCGCGATAATGTCAATGTCGGTCTCGATGTTACTATCGGGTGAAGGGTGAATCTGGGTAAGGCGAGCGTCTTTCCTGGAAGCCATTTGGATGTTTCCGTTGTCTCCTAGCAAAAATGAGGGATTCTGCTTTGATCATGTAGGCGTAGAAGCGCATAAAGGATTGTCTAATGAAGCGTGTAATAGCAATGAGTAGCGAGCTATAGGGAGCCAGGTTCCTCAGAGGCAAATAATCATAACAACATTCATGATGGGACGAAGGCGTGCCCGAAAGATTAGTCACTCGTTAGGCATCCAACTTCGCCCGCCAATGAGCGCGTTGTTTTGAGACAGCTGATGCCCAATGTGACACTGCATATGCCACGCTTACTTCCCCTCAGTCGCGGTGTCACACAGTGAAGGCCTGTACAAAGGTATCGGACTACAAGGGTTACACAATAACAAAGAAAGGTATCACGAGAGGCCGTAAACAGACCTTGAGCGAGCGCTGCCTCGGCCGAAAGACACTAGCCCTGATCGCCTTCTTGTATTTATAGAGACCTCCGGTCCCTTATGACCTCTTAGAAAACCAATGACTTTTGATACATCATAGTCGATTATTAAATTGATACTTGAAACGGACGTTCCGAGCCCAGTTATCCTGCCCTTGTCACACGTGGAGGAATAGGTGGAGAGGAATAGGTTAATATTCCTCCACGTACGGAATAATAATTACCTACACGGAGCTTCTTCCCAGACAAAGGAGTAATTCTTTTCGATATTACAAAAACGGAAGGATGTCCGGAGATATACCCGGCTAGTAGGCCCAAGACTTTCATACAACACGACAATAGGAACTGATCTTTGAGCTTAGCCATAATTACACGAGAGCTATAATCGCGAGGTTTATTATTATTTTATATATATATAAACCTTTTAATATAAGAAACCAAAAAAAGCCAAGAGTTTTAATACTAGAGGCTCTTATTAGATAAATGAAGTTATTACCCTAAACCTCGTGATCCCAGCCATCGACAAAGACTAGGGGTCTTACTGACAACTGTTGGAATTATTATCAGCAATATACACAGTGGATTTTGGCACATTAATTGAGCAAAATAGTGGTATTTGACATGTCAATCTGAAGATCTAGAATGAAGGCCCTGAAATCCGGAAATTGGCCCCTTTCATACCTTGCTGGAACCCCTGAAGACCCCTGTCATGACCCTCATCCTATCCCTAACCTTGAACCCTAGAAAAAGAAAACATCATGACCCTTGGACCGTCAATTATCGCCTGTTCGACTCAACAACAGGACGATACGGGCCGATCTTTGAGCCCGACGGGAGTTACACGAGAGCTATAGTCGCGAGGCTTACTATTATTCAATATAAATAAAAGCCCTGTAAGATAAGGAGCCCAAGGAAACCCAAGTATCTTTGATACTGGAAGCTGTTGTTAGATGAATTGAATTATTACCCTAAGCCTTGTCATCTCAGCCCTCGCCAAAAAGCCTAGAGGTCTGAGGGCCGCAGAGAGAGGAGAGAGCCAAAGGGCATACTGATAGGCTGAATATCTGGAGTATTCGACCAGACCATGACTGCTATTTCTGGATCTTTGTGCTCCATTACATAGTGGTGAAGGCCGATACGCTAAGTTAAATATGATAATTATAGCTGTTACGGTAACAATCTGTAGGCGTCTACAATTTTTGCCCTGTGGTCTAATTGGAGTAAATTGACTCAACTCGAATAGCCACTTGGACGCTTGGCATTTCTTATGTTTCACCCAGCTAACCTTTTATAAACGATGTAAATTTATGTGTACAATTTACGGTGCATGACGCAGCATATGGCAGTTTTTTCTGGTTTGGGCACTGCCAGGCGCATGGTGGTAATTGCATTGTCCCATACTTATGTTTGTGCGAGCAATTGGATGAGTTGAAAATTACAACTTCATAATAAGCGTTTAAAACGCCTTTCATCCCACTTATCCTTGCTCTGCTGAAATGTATTGCAATCAGGCCCCCTGAGATACTTCTCGCTTCTTTTCTGGGCTGTTTACCTGTAGACCTCTAGACATGTCTCTGGAGAATATTTTGACGCCGTTGGGGACCGAGGCTCGTCAAAGCCAAGGTGTTGCACGGAAAAGGCCCAACAACTTCGAAGCCCAACAAAGGGGCTTCACCGACAAATGACATCTGGTTACACAGCCTAAACACATGACTGGGCAAGAGCCCTAGGCACAGGCGCTCGCTTCCTTCATGTATATAAAGTGGTCAACTGTGCCTCTCTTCGTCTTGAAAACCAAGGACCTTTAGCCCCCTTTGAGATTCAATATTATCTTTAAAATTGAGCCTTTGCTCCAAGCCTTCTATATTGAACCCTTGTCACAGAAGGTGGGTAAGCAGAACGCCCGATGATGGAATGACCAAAGACAAAGCACACACAAAAGAGTCAAGATGACCATCAAAAAGCACTCGACTAGCTTGTTGCCAAGCCGTCTCCCAGCGCCAGATTAAAAGCATTGCATTACTCAGAATCTAAGCCGTCTTGGGACATTATTGCCAAGAGTTATGCCCCAAAATCATGGCAGAACGAGGCCGAGTACCAACACAGTGATTCATCTAAACGTGTGTCGGTCTTCTCGGGTTTGACCAAACTTGCATAGTTCTCGGAGACTATTTGCCGTCGCTTGATCCACGTGTTGACAAGTCCTCGTACGATCCAAAGGGTCTATCTGACTCTAGAAACACGCTAGAAGCTCAGATTGCAAAGTAGTCGAGACAACATGGGAGGCTTAATGGCCCACATTCCCAGCGCGGTATGTAATTCAAGTGGCTGAAGACTGCAGGACCCGCCGCGGTCCGTCGCATCGTTGGCCAGTTTAAAAAGCATGCTAACGGGGTAAAGTTACTGGTACTTGTGGTTTTGCCTCGCAGACTTTCAAGTTTCTTCAAGTTTTGTGGCGGAACGGGTTTGGCCATGATAAGGAGAAGTGAGTGTAGCCTTTCCTATCAAGCACGATAGAACGTCAAAAGGCATCTCGCAAAGACGTTGGTAAAGCTAGTTTGTTCCAAGCCAATCCCTATGTCGTCGTCATAGTCGCTACTTCGACCTGTGCCGAGATAGGTTTGCCATATCATTTTACGGAGTACTAGATCCAAGGCTATTATGCGTCACGAGAACCATCTCAACGGCACCAATCTCCGTACCCCGGATTTTCGCTGCCGCTCCAAAGCAAATGCGGAGACAATCCGTAATGACCTGGAGCTATCTACTGTAGCCGGCGTCATGAACAGCTCGTCGTAGTCGATATCCGGCTTGCCCGTTCCACCCTACAACGTGTGGCGCAACCCCTCAAGCTCCCCAACATGTTCCCAGCCAGTCTACTGCTCACCGGACCATCAGCCGCATCCTAGCGGCAAGCGAGTCAAACGGCTTCTCTCGTGCTCTCCATCCATCCATGTGGATGTGGAACCACGTTGACGATTTGAGGCCACCGAAGCACTAACCCGGACTTCGTACGCCCCGCAAAACGCCTCGCAGAAGAGCCACAGTCGGGATTGGTGTTCCTTATCGTAAAGGGTTTCTGGGGCTCGTGGATTTTGTTCGTGGCGAGTTGCCAGGGCAGTTTGGAGAATATTGAGGAGACTTGCGCGCGACGTACTCCGTGACAAAGTTCGTCCCAGAAACCCCATCCGTAAAGACATTCGGCTTCGCAGACGAAACGACACTTCCTCTCATGCACCATCTCCCACGATGAGGGCTGTGCCCATCATCCGCAGCAGGACCGGCTGCTTCACCTGCCGGCGCCGCAAGAAGAAGTGCAACGAGGAAAAGCCCGTCTGCAGCGGGTGCAAGCGAAACAAGCTGGAGTGCACATGGCCGGCCGAGCTGCCGGCACGGGAGCAAGCACAAGGACAGCCGCGTGGCCGGGAGAGAGCTGCGTCGACGACGTCAAAACCTGCCGCTTCTGCTGCGGCGGCGGCGGCAACGCCTGTCCCGCGCTCGCCCAGGCCGGACGACGTACAATCGCCAGTGAGCCCGGCCTTGCAGCGGCTACAGCTGACGGCGTCTCCGCGGCACGGGAGCATTGGATCGGAGGGTGTGTTGCCGAATGATGCCGAGAGCTCGGCTGCGCGACGATATTCCGATGGATCGTCGGACGGGTCTTCGTCCAGGGCCGGCGGCGACAGCGTCCGAAACGGCGACGAGATGCCGGACGAGTTGGACGAGGCAGTGTCTCCGGCGTCTCCATTGTCGTCGTTTGGGAGTCTGGTCGCCCTCGACGTGGATGCCGCCCTGCAGCAGCGGCGCATGTCGGACGTGTCTGCCCTCTCGCCGTTCGCATTCGTCTCGGGCCGGGAGAGCTTCAGCGGCGACGGCCTCTATCTGCACGACAACATCCCCATGAACATGAGCCTGCTGCCGTCGCATGGCCACGACTCGTTCGAGCTGCTGAGCTACTACCTCGAGCGCACGGCCAACAGCATGGGCAACGGGTCGACAGACATCAACCCCTTTGTTGCGAAGCTCATCCCTCTTGCTTTTTCCGACCCTCTGGTGTTGCATCTCATACTGGCGCAGAGCGCGGTGCATCGGCAGTCATCCAAGCAGTGCGTATCGGGCGGCGAGGTGGCCACCCGATACTACGCAGATTCGCTGCGCATGTTTAGAAACCTCGTGGGGGAGTACGTGTCCGGCAAAGAAGGCACCAATCTTGTCGTGACGGTCGGCAGTCTCATTCTATGTCTGACAGAGGTACGAGTCGACGCCATCCAAGAGTGATTACACGGGCTGACGTAAAACTTGCAGGTTGCCCGAGGCGATGTGCGCGGCACGATATTCGACCATCTGGCGGCGTCGAAATCGCTCCTCACAAGCCTCCTCAGCCAATCTCGACCAGAAGCCAGCGACGACCTGCCCGACTTCCTCGTCGAGTACTACATGCACATGGTGGCGTGCAGCATGATCTCCAAAGACGCGCGCGGCGGGTCGCAACCCGCGCTGAGCCCGGCCATCGAAAACGCGGCCAAGCAGCTCCTGGACAAGAACTACACGGGCCAGCTCTGCGGGAGCTGGCTGGAGATGCTGACGCTGATACCGCAGGTGTTCCAGCTCGGGCAGAGCATGCTGCGGACGGGGGCGGCGTCGGCGTCGCCCGACGACATCATCACGTTTGGCCTGCTGCAGTCGCAGATCCTGGGCTTCGCGCCGTCCCTTCTGGCCAGCACCAGCAGCCAGCTGGCCGGGCTCGTGTTCAAGCAGGCCGCGCTGCTGTACCTCTGGAGCATCTTTGGCACGCCGCAGCAGGCGCCGGCGCGGCAGACCATGCACGGCGACCTGATGAACGGCGCCGTGCTCGAGGCCGTCGCGCTGCTGGGCCAGCTGCCGGCTTCCGAGAGGGTCAATACCAGTCTCTGCTGGCCGCTGACCGTCGTGGGATGCTGCACGACGAGCGTGGATGTGCAGCAGGCGTTGAGGGCGCGGCTGGAGACCATGATTGACACGATTGGGCTGGGGAACATGCGGCAGACGCTGGCGCTGCTGGAGCACGTTTGGGAGCAGGACCCCGGGGATATTAGTCCGTGGACGCTGCGGGCGGTGATGCAGCGGTACGAGATTTGGATATCGTTTGCGTGAGGGCTAGTGGTGTCATTGTTGTATCGTTGCTCGTGGCACCATTGAAGCGTGAGAGCGACGTTGTCGGAGCATACACATACTCTGGTCAAAAGTGGGATGATACAATAGGCTGTTCAAACGCCTCGCTTGAGCAAGGAATGGAGGATGGCCAGTTCTGCGGACATTGCCTACGCCCGCTCGGTTACTATCAGGACATGCCGAGGGTCAAGGACGAAGGAACGCCCACGTTCCGTTACAGGATATGCCGCTGCTCGGGGACCTGCCAGCCAGAGTCGAATTGCTAATGTAGTCAAAATCGGCATATAACAAAGCGATTCGACTCTGGGACGTAATATCAGGAAAGCACGAGATTCAAGAATGATGCAGAGGCAACGACTTGGCAACAGACACTTGGAAATGTTGTCACAACATTAAACATTGAATATACTCGCACCAGACCGCAGAAACACGCCAGCCAACCCCATCTTCAAGCAACAGCATCCAGGAAAAAGTCCCAAATCTTGCCGGCCACCAAGGTCCCGTCATGCGCATCGCCCGCCCTCCCGACAGCCTCGCCAAACATGTCGTCCCCAAAAATCCCCTGGTCCCGCCGCGCCCGCAGAATCTGCTCCATGATGAAGCCGTCAAACTCGGGGTGCGCCTGCAGCGACAAGACCGCCTTGCGCTTGTACATGCCCTGCACCGGACACCGCGCGCTGCTGCCGAGGCAGACGAGGCCCTCGGGCACGCTGGCCACCTCGTCGCGGTGCATCTGGTGCAGGTTCTAGGCTGCGTCAGCGAATGGTCTGTTTCTCCGACAAGTTGCAGCGGACATACCAGGGACGAAGCGCCGAATAGCTTCCGCCCGTCGGGGCTGAGGTCGACGCTCGAGACGGAGACTTCCCACCCGCCGCGGGCGACGGCCGTGGTGGCCCCCAGCGCGCGGGCAATGACTTGGTGGCCGAAGCAGATGCCTACGACGGGGGTGCGCGAGGTGTTTAGCACGTCGCGGATGTAGGACACCAGCTGGACGATCCAGGCGTCGTCGGCAAAGGCCGTGTGCTCTGCGGCGAGTTAGCTGGTGTTTGTGTTAGGGGATGGCGACGGGGGATTGACGCAACTGCTTCCGGTGATGAGGATGCCGTCGACGTCCCCTGTCGAGGGGTACGTGTGCTGCCGGACGACGTCGTACTTGAGCAGGCGGAAGTCGACGCTCTTTCCGTTGGAGAGCAGGGTCTCGAAGATGGCGCCGTACGAGCCGCGTTCCTTTTCGACGCCGGGGACGGGCGTGTCGCACTCGAGGACGGCGAGTCGGAACGGCATGTTGTGAGGGTGTGGTGGGTGAATTGTAAGAAGTCAGGTTTGGTTGGACAGACTACGGCTAGGCTGTGTACTTTGTAGTTGATACAGTCAATGGTTATATAGGTGCTTGTGCCGTGTGGATGCGTTCAATGTTGACGGCAACGCGCCCTTGACCAGGCACCTCGCTTGACATCTGGACCCGATACCGCTTCCACGGCGCCGCCCGCGTGAGCTGAGCCGGGCGGCAACGGATGTGATTGGGCTGGAGGGACTGGATCCGGTAGGCGCGGTCCGTGGCGGAGGAGCCGCGGGCCACCAGACTGAAGGACAATGTCCATGTTGAGTCACCTTGACTACGTATATGTAAATAAATCTATGCTCGCCGCAGGCGGAAGCCCGCTGCAGGCGGCCCCCGGCAGGGCCCCCGGAGGGAAATTAAAAAGAAAGTTGATATTGATATTGATGTCTGGTCACTCGTGGCGTTTGGCTTGTTTCTGGTTGGCCCCGGCTGCGTATAAGTGAGTAGCAAGTCTGATAACACCGCTCATCTGCAACTCATCGGCTCTCAAACGGTGGTATTTGAACACAAGTACACAAGAATATATACACCAGCGCCCGGCACAATCTGACGGCACCCAAGAAAAAAGGCCTACATCCCCACCAAGCAAGTATCCGCCCAGCAGAACAGCTCTATCTAGCAAGCGCTCGCATCAACATCCGTCGGGACAGCCGTGTCATTGGCCAGAATGGCCTTGGCCACCTGGGCATACGTCCGCCCATCACGCACATTGGCGTCCGAAAAGCCCGCCGCCCACATCATGACGCCGCCAAACGCGGGATCGCTACTATACCGGCCCACGAGGGCCGCCAGCTTCCCCGGCTCGAGGTAGTACCTGGCGCCGGAGGCCGTGCCCGTCGCGCCGAGCGGCGAGGCCGGCACGCCAATGAAGATCTTGGCATTGGCCGACGGCGTGCCGGCCACGTTGCTCTTCCATTCGGCAAAGTTGATGGTCCCGTCGACCGAGCACCCCGGGTTATTGTAGAACTGCACCCATAGATAGTCGAACTGCGCCTTGGTAATAATCTCATTCATGTTGGGCTCCGGGATGGGGCACTGCGGCGCCCCCGTGACGAGGTACGCGCGCCCCGGGTCCGAGGCAAAGTTGGCCCGCAGCTTCGCAATCATGAACTGGTAGAAGCCGTTGCCGGCGTTGCTCTCAATGTCAAAGTCCCACCCGTCGACCGAGGTGTTGCCAAAGGGGCGCGGGACGGCCGCGTTGGAGCCGGGCTTGCCGTACGCGTCCCAGAGGTTCTGGCCGATGGCTTCCGCTTCCTGCTGCGAGGTGAGCGAGTAGGCGCCCGAGGCGCCGCCCAGGGAGAGGAGCACCTTGACGCCGTTGGTTCGGCAGGTGTCGATGGCCTTGGCGAGGGCGTCGCAGTTTTGGCCCTCGCCCGAGGGGGCGATGTAGCACGACTGGCCGATGGTGCCGGAGGGGATCGTGTGCCCGTTGCCGTATTGGTACAGGAAGGCGAGGACGATGATGTCGATGCCGGACGAGGCGGTGCAGTCAGCTGCGAGGGCGTTGTTCTCGACGACGCCGCCGCCGTTTTGGCCCCAGTAGACGACGTTCTGGGCGCCTGGGGCGCGAGGTGCGAGCGGTGCGAGCGGTGCGGCAAGACTGGTGCTGGCCAGCAGCGCGAGGCTTGCGAGGGTGCTGAAGAGGGAGGGCATCGTGATGGTGGTGTTGGTCAAGATCAACTTGTGGATATGGAAGAGGAGCTTTGTAACGCTTGGTAATATGTACAATGAAGGGAATTTAGAAGAGGGCAAAGGAAGGGACGAGACCCATCAAGGATCTCTGGTTGTATGTTTGCGCGAAGACAAGTCGAAGGGCTTGCACATCTCCAACTCGGGATGAGGCGGTCTGCCCAATTTATATGCACGGGTGTCTCTTGACCTGGTCTCTGGAAGCGCCTGGTTCAAGCCTCAGGGGTCATGAGTCCTTCCAGATCCTCCGCGTGATGCCCCGAGTAAAAAGTGTTACAGGTCAACGTTGTGCTCATATCCAAAGGCCTGTCGAATGGGCCCTTGGTCCGGTTGGCCCCCTACAGCGTCCCGTCGATGCGGGCATCATGACGAAACAAGGAGGATTGCGTTTCCCCCAAGGCCAGTTGTGGCGGCCGTCGGCCCCCGACGTCGTTTCTTTTTTGTCGTATGATGCCGGGGGGAATCCTTGCGAATAGATCGAGTGCGGGATAGCTCAAAGGGTTCGATACTACCAGTTCCTTGCTGGCATTATTTGCGGCTTCTAGTGTATTTGGGTCATTCTTACGGCCCTGCTCATGCAGCAAATAGCCATGTTCCTCCACATTATCTGAACTTGGTGACGCTGTTTGTAATCATGAGCACCCGTCTACTACTCAGGATACGGTGTCAAGTTCCGCTTCGTCAACATGACCATTTCCGACATGGCCAACGAAACAGCGCCGCAACTATAAGCCTTTTCGTTCACTGCTGACATTGATGCCTGATTAGGCAAAAGGCTAGCCAGGCAGCTTCAGGATATTGGCCAGCGGCAACAGCGGCCTTTTGGGCAGCCATCCTCGCGGCCCTTGAGGCTGGCCCCGTCGTCTTCAATATTCGCAGCTCGGCCATGGCTATTGGCGAGGACCGAAGCCTTTTCTCGCGTCAGGAGAACAAATGCGCCCCCCATCTTCTCATCGTGCAGATGACAGTCTCGAGCTCGAGCGGTAGGACATGGTCGCGGCTCAGCAGGCGCCAGAAATCACAAGAAGCACTCGCGTAGGAATCAAACGCCGCCCATTCAAAGCCTCGCCTTGGCGTTGTGATGCGGAGAGGTGAACGGCAGGAAACCGCCCGGCAACGTCCCCGGCCAGGGTCAAATCCATGACACCCAGTCCTGCATCCTGCACGCCCCGTTGACTGTGCCGGTTTCCGGCCACCATGACCAGGGGCAGGTCCTGCATGTTTGGATGCAGCACCTTGTTCAGTGATGTCCTCGAACGAGCACTTGAGGTCCAAGTCTTTCAACACTGTGCTCTGATTGCATGTCTGGCGGCGCTTGCTGAGACGCGGTCGGCCATGGTGCCTGGGCCCCGTGGGACAATATGCCGTGCACCCGGCCCCCAGCCACGTCAGAGCTGTCAAAAGGCGGTGCTCACGGAGTAGCCACTTCAACAGATTTACATATGTATGTAGTCGAGTCTACAAGGGCCGCCGCTGCCTCGTCCGACTCGCTGGGTGGTTGTAGTGGCCCCTGGTGGCACCTCGTGCCGAGATGCAGGTTCTGAAACACGGCCTTGTTCCGTGCAAGATCTGCGGCCTGTATCGTGGCTGCACGGCCGGCTGACATTGGATGAACGCTGCCAATAGTCAGTCGTCTGGGATGATCCGGGTTCGCCCAGAGCAACAAGGCATGTGCGGAAATGTGTCCTGCGAGGGCATGTGCAGAGGCGAAATATAGTTCGCCAGACCGGTACCTGGCTATCGGGATTTATACTATCAATCCTATACTATACTACCAGATATGTATTGACGGTATAGTAGTGTATACTTGGCGGCGGGTAGATATTCTGCCAGACTGTTACATCCGCGCTTGGGAATGCAGCATCGGACGGCCTTGTGCAACCAAACACTGGCCATGTTCCCTGTTCACGACTCTTGCATGGGGACTCGATGCGGCGTTGATCTAGCATGTTGCCGTGCGGTCTCGGTTACATTGGGATTGCCGGCGGGCCGACATGTAACCAAGACGACGGTGTGCACGATTACGTCCACGGTACGTTAGATTACATTCAGTTGTATCGCACTTGGCGTGGGTTGAGTTGCACAGGCTCGCGCGGGTGGTATTCGATACAAGGTCGGCAATATCAGCCAGCTAGAGTTGCTCCTCCTAGCACAGCACTGAGGGCACCGTTATAATGTTGCGAATCATGTCCTCAAGTGCTGCTTCCACTTTTCTCTGTTCAGACAATGGGCTTTGCATGACTTGTCAATGCGTACAAATGTAGCCGTCTGTGTTTTGCACCTGCTCGCCGTCACGGTAATAAACTCTCACGACTCAGTCACCATAGACTTGTCACTCTTAATCAATGTCACAAACTCATAGTCGGGCCTCATCCACTACTTTCATTCCAAATCAGCCAGATACATGAACCGAACAATGTAGGATAGTCGAGCCTCGTTTGCCAGTCTAGTCGCACACACGAGTATTCATTCCCATCAAGAACCAGTCTACTCCCACTTGGCCTTGTTCTCCTCCACAAACGCCTTCCACGTAGTCGGCTTATCCTGTCCCAAGAGCGCCAGGCTGTCCTTGAGATCCGCGCCAGCATAGTACCCCGGCTCCTGCAGCAGGAGCATATTCTCCAGCAACTCCTGCGCCGCGGCCGGCGGGAGGGCCGCCTTGAACGCCTCGTGCGGCACCTCGCGGAACGCAACCTTTTTGCCCGTGACGGCCTCAAACTCAGACACGATACGCGACGGGGTGTAGTAATCCGTAGCGGCGCGAATCACCCTGCCGTCGGCGGTGCTCCTCAGCGCAGCCTTGACAAAAATACCTGTCGATTACACGCATCAGACGCAAATTTCCAATTCTTCATTTTTGCTTTTTTTCAAGGCACACCGTCTACTCACCCGTGTCGGCGGCCGCGTCAAACAGCGGAATCTGCGCCTGGTCAGCCTTGACGCCCTCGGGCATGGCCCAGGCCAAACTACCATCATCCTGCTTCCGGATGAAGCCGAAGAAGCCGCTCATGAAGAGGCCCGGCTGGACAAAGGTCGACTGCAGGCCGCTGCCGCGGATGTACTGCTCAATCTTGGCCTTGCCGTCAAAGTGGGTGACGTGGGCGAGGCGGCCCTTGCTGGCGTCGGTGACGTTGATGAGGGACGAGAAGATGAGGTGCTTGACGCCGGCGGCCTTGGAGGCGTCGGTGACGGCCTTGCCCTGCGCGATTTCAATCTTGTCCGACATGCTCTCCCAGAAATTGGTCACCATGAAGACGGAGTGGGCGCCTTGCACGGCGGGCGCGGCGGCTTCGGGGGACGACATGTCGGCCTGGGGAGCGGGTTAGCTGCCTGTGGACATGGGGACTTGGTGTATTTCAGCGTACCTTGACCATTTCGACGCCCTTGGCCGTCAGGGCCTGCGCGGCCGGTTTGCTGACGTCGCGCGTGACGCCGCGGAGTTTGTATTCCTTGGAGAGGACGGGGTCTGCGAGGACGGCTCTGATGACGGAACCGCCCTGGTTGCCGGTGGCGCCGAAGACGGTAAAGATTTTGGACATTTTGAATAAGTTTGGTTTTTGTTAGATAAAAAGGTCTCGATGAGTTTGAGAGCTACAATGGGAGTGTTGTCACAAGGTCGGTAAAGATGAGGGGTCAATGGTTGTACTGCCTTGGAAGGTATACGAGTTGACGTCGGCCGTCTTTGCCCATATTTTATACTTTTCCTCAAGACGACTCCGCATGCAGAATCCCCAATCTGTAAAGCGTCAATTGTGCAGACACGCACGTCTCGATGCCTGGTTCGGAGAGGCAGACTCCTCCACGAGGTTCTGCCGCCTGCGACGACCCGACGGCGTCGAGGTTGGATTTGATTACACACGAATTAATCAGCCTCTGTTCCCACTGACGATGCCCGTTGACAAGCTTGGCGAGTTTGTTCCAGATCGAATTGTGGATCCTCGCTGCTCGCGCTTTATGCACGCTGCTGGCTGATGTAGCATTGATCGACTAGTTTCACGGCGGCAGAACCACATATTTTGTTCAGCCACTCGGTCTTCGGATCTCTGAGGATAGCGAACAGCCAGTTGCGCGCAAGTTCATCTCCGCAAAGCAAGGAGAGTAGACATGGAGTTCGTGCACAGGATAGACTGAGCTGCCAGAGTTTGTCGGCAGTCAAACGCAAGTGCATTTGTCAGATCCCGGGGTTACAGTGAGGTGCGTTGTCAGCCGGTGCCTGGATAAGATGACGTCTCGACGATACTAGTCATGTAACTCATGTTATCGACTACAAAGCGTGATGGCATGCGAGCAAACAAAACGCAGGCCAGGGTCCGCACCAGCCTCCACACGTAGACAGTGAGAGCATGCAAGACGTGGGACGTATTCATCATCATTACTATCAAGAGGAGCTTGCATTGCTCAAAAGACGGATTTCCGAGACCACTTGGACTTGGCGCGCACGCGGCGGCCGTACCGGTAAAACACAAAGGGCACGGGGATCAGCAGCGCCGCAAACCCGGCGGTGATGCTGGACCCCGGCCCGACGCCGAGGTTGTGGTACAGCGGGCCGACGACGAGCGGGAAGGCGCCGGCAAAGCACGAGCGCAGAAAGGTGTTTGCGGCGACGGCCGAGGCGGCGTGGGCCTGGAACGTGTCGACGAGGTAGTTGAGCGCGGCCTGGAAGATGGTGAAGAAGCCGGCGCCGAGCATGGCGAGGCCGAGGCACGGCGCGATCCAGGGGACGGACGGGCGCGCGGTCCAGCCGAGCACGAACTGGCCGGCGCTGAAGAGCAGCGAGCCCAGCATCATGGGCGGCAGGCGCTTCTCGGGCACGGCGCGGTCGCCGGCGGCGTGGTAGGCGCGGTTGTACAGCGTCTGGTTGTACACGTTGAGGCCGCAGCCGAGCGCGGCGCCGGCGAGGATGCTCAGGAACGGCAGCGTCGCCACCAGCGGCCGCCACCCGCGCAGCTCGCCGAAGACGATGGGGATGGCCCCCAGCTGCATGTACAGGATGCCGTAGCAGAAGCTGGCGTAGAGCGCCATCAGGAAGCAGATGGGCGTGCAGAGGAGCTGCACCGGCCGCAGGAGGAACTTGCGCGCCAGCTCGCCCACGCCCACGTCCCATTCCTCGAACTGCGCGTGCAGCGCCCAGTTGCCCGTGTCGTGCCGCAGCCGCCGCGCCTTGTAGACGAGCAGCTTGGGCGGGTAGCTCTCGTCGATGAAGACGAGCGCCGCGCCGAGCACCACCACCTGGAGGATGCCCGTGAGGTACTCGGTCCAGCGCCAGCCGAGGGACGGCTGCTCGACGACGGCGGCCGAGACGATGGGTCCTGCGGCGGTCAGCATGTCGAGTACCTTTATATATAGTCTTCATATATCAATGATGCCTCACATACCCAGCACCGGACCGCCGACGACGGCCATGGCATAGCCCGCCATGGCGATCCCCCTCCACGCCGGCGTGTACAGGTCCCCCAGCACGCCGCCCGTGTTGGTGACGGGCGCCGAGGCGAAAAACGCGCCAAAGAAGCGCGTCAGCATCAGCGTCTGCAGGTCCTTGGCCGCGGCGCTGCCGAAGCTGAAGCACACGGCGACAAACATGGGCGCCAGGACGGCGACGCGGCGCCCGTAGACCTCGCTGAGCGGCGCCCACAGCAGCGGCCCGAGCCCGAAGCCAAACAGGTACAGCGTCGTGCCCAGCGTCGCGACCTGCGTGCCCACGCCGAACTCGCGCGCAATCTGCCCCGTGCCCGCCGAGTACGCCGACGACGCCCACGTCGCCGTCATGGTCACGAGCCCGTACAGCAGCGTCGTCGACGCCTTCTTGTGCGTCGCCCAGTTGAGCGGGTGGTACGGGTCGTCGGGCCCTTCGAAGCCCACGAGCTCGGCCTCGCTCGTCCGCACGTGGGCGAGGGGGTGCGTGAACGTCGGC